TTGTCCAACAATGCCATCCTAATCACAACACAACTCTCATAGTCTCTCTCTTCATCCTCTCTCGGTCGGCCAGCCTTCAAAGAAGGAGAAAGGAGACTCCATCTCCATTGTTGTACCAAAGTAAGAAGAAGAAGAAACAAGAAGAGTGTTTAAGTCCAAAATCCTGAGTCCAAAACGCATCAGCAACTTCATCGCCAATCCTGTAATTTTCTATCCATTTTCTGGAAATGTTTATTATACCAAAATTGTAGCTCTGGATGTTACGAATACAACCCAATAAATGGTTTGTGATTTCGTTAAGTAACGAAGGAAATATGGCAAAAATACCAGGACTACGCCAGTGGTGGCGAGCTCCTCGGGTTGGCTATATTTCTTCACCATGTTTATATCGTTTCTTTCCAAACGTTTATCGTCAACTCTCTCGCCTATAAGGAACTCCCGAAGGTTATTATCAATAAGGTTGGACGTCGGAAGATCGAAGTTGATATAAGGGACCGTACATTGAATGTTCATTGAGGCGTATTATTATCTTTCTATCACATCCGTCTTCTACGATATCAAGGCGAGTACATTGCACCCTAGTAACGCAATCCTTGGTTCAATATCAATCTAGATATATCGCTAGGATTGATTGTCATATTATAAGTCATCTATGTTTTAAGATCAAACTCATAAAGTTAAAATATGTTTTTCTTGATACTCTTCCACACATGAATATATAAATGTTAGAAATACTTCAAATACATAGATATGTTAATCATAGGTGTTAAAATGACTTAAAGAAGTAATTTAGACATCCAAAAATATCAAAAATAAGATTTGCAGACCCAAATGGTCGACGTAAACGATCAACCGTTGTATTAAACATCGAAAGAGACCACGACTTTTAGCAAAACAGTCGACCGCCGCCAGCCCAGCCGAAGTCCGTCGTCCTCAGCCAGTCAACAACGGTCGACCGCCGATCAACTGCGGTCGATCGTCACGGGGAACCAAAATCCGAGAAATTGAAGTAAAGCACGGTCAATCGTCGTGCCAAACGGTCGACCGTTCCGAGCCCTGTAGCTTACTTAAATGATATTTTAATCATGTTTTACCCAAATAAATTAATGTGTGATTACATATTCATATTGTTTACAAATTGTTCATATCATATGTTTCATTTCATCATCCATATTGAAGCATATCACATCATATGCATGCGTAAGAGATCATGCCTCGTGCGTCTCTTATAGCATGATTGTGCGGGACTTACTACCCCGACATCACACGTTTGGGCTTGGTGTACGTACATGGTATTCGGGCTTTCGAATGCCACCCCCATTTTTCTAGTCTCACCTGTGAGACTAAGGTGGCGTAAGTTCGTTGTACCAAATGGGCAAATCTCATAGCGCAAGGGTTGTCCTTTTGTATTTGTAGTTAAGATAGTCTAAGCCAGAGATAGTAGGACTATAGCAAGCAAGGTCAAGAAAAAGCGGGTGCACGAGCACCAGTTATTTAGTAAAGGGGACGCGTAAATAGGATAGGTAGGGCTTAGACCTCTCAGCAGCTCAAGAAGGCGGGAAATAGTAAAGGAAAAAGTACCCGATTTGAGAAGAATCCCATGCTTGACCCCAAACTTGACTAGACTGAAGCCACTCCAATTGGCTCGGCTGCACCGAACTTAGCAGTTGCTTATTAGAAGGCTGAAGTCCTCACAATACATCTTTAAGGAGCTACCGAGGAATCATACAGCATGAAATCATCATCAAGAACAATCATAATGACTATGTACGACATCAATTACATATCATCATCATCATCTTGAGCATACATGCTATAATATGTCATATCATGAATAATTGTATGTCTACTTGCTATTCAACTTGGAATTGTTGTATTAGCGTATTCCTCAGCTGATGTTGAGCGTGTAGTTTGTTTTACTTGCTACACGCATGTAACAACACTGATCATGGAGCCAATCCCGGAGGTCAATGAGAGTGATGAGATGTACGGACTGGTGGACCACAATCATTATGTTTTATTTAAATAAAATACCTTTTTGGGCGAGTTCCCAGAAAATGTAATACGACTTGATTATGTTTAATATTTAAGCTTTTGCACTGTTTCAGACATTTCTCCGAAACTTAATATTTGAATTTATCATTTATATTAAAGTTTAATTGGTTTTAAATTATTTATCAAATTATCATCCGTAATTACCATCATGGTAACTACTCCGGCTCAAATAATCTAGGTAATCGGGTTATTCGAGTTGGGGTGTTACATTTTGGTATCGGAGCATTTGATTTTAAAAAATGATTTTGTAAATCAAATCAAAAGAGTTTCAAACACAAATCTCTCCACATCTCTGCCCGGGAGTGGTAAATAATTAGTTTATTTATGACTAATGATAATTTCAATTAATTATAGAATGAGTCAGGATTCGACTCACAGTTAGGCAAACCCTCACGCGGAGCCTGATCATGTTAGTGTGCATACTGTGCACACCAAAGCATCCAGCTACGTACCCCATCAACAACAGCCTCAGCCAGAACTTCAACAAGTTCCGGAGCAGTTTGCGGGTCAAAACTCGAATATGGCCATTCCAATGTTCCAACCACAAATGGTTGCGAACATGTTTGAGTTCTTCCAGTTGATGGCTGGAGCACATGTACCTCCACCACCACCTCCTGTACCCATCATCTCGATTGAGAAACTCACGAGAAATGGGGCGCAGGAATTCTACGGTGACCAGATAGCAAACCCCCTCATAGCCAAACGTTGGTAGGAACACACAGTGAGGGTACTTGAAAATTTGAAGGTACCTCTCGAGGATTGGGGACAACACGCCATATCCCTATTGCAGGATGCCGCCTATGATTGGTTGAAACGAGTGGGCGCTAACATTCCCATGCCAGTACCATGGGCTACCTTTGATCCACTCTTTAGAGCAGAGTATGTACTCGATCATTACGTTGAGGCCAAGTATGAAGAATTTTCCAAATTCACTCAGGGGAAACTGACTCTCCCAGAGTACCGTCAACAGTTTGACGGGTTGGCCGAGTTTGGTAAAGACTTGGTCAACACCATGCAGAAACGCTGCAAGAAGTTCATCAAGGGTATGAGACAAGACCTCTCATCATCACTCATAATAGTTCCCCGAGCCGACATCAATGATGTCTACAAGAAGGCACTGGAGCTGAATGAGGAGCTCATAAGAAAAGCTGCATATGAACATGCATTGCTAGCAGAAAGCCGGGCCGTCCAACTGGGCACAAGGATGGGACCTGGTAACAAAAGAACCTTCTCCACACCGAGTAGCTCTTGCCATGATAAGCGAGCAAAATATGTTCCCTCTACATCGCTGGCTGTCACTTGTAAGAGTGGGAAGGAGAAAGTGACATACCGCAATCCCGTATGCTCACTGTGTGGCCGAAGGCATCCTGGTGAGTGCTGGTTCACATAGGGTCTTTGCCTTAGGTGTGGTCAGGCAGGTCACTTTCGGAAGGACTGCTCGACGAACCCAGGGGAGGTCTTCTCCACGGCACCAGGCACGCCGACTGCTCCTAGTGTCTGACGGACCGAACCTGCCCAGAGTCATCGTTCCACGGCTGCGTCTAACCAGCCGAAGAGGCCGGCACCCAGTAGCAAGGATGAGCACCAGCTCGTAAATATGCCATGCAAGGGCGTACAGATCCGTATGCTAACGATGTCATCATGAGTATGTTCACTTTATTTGATATCACTGTATCTTAATTAACGCTAGATCTACCTTATCATACATATGTGTACCCATGCCTGTTAAGTCTGACGTCATTAAGGAAACTCTTGAGCATCCAGTAGTTGTTCGAATCCACTAGGACACAGTCTACGTCTCCAGCATGTTTATAATCAATGTCCGTTAATGGCTCAAGGAAAGGTATTCTTAGCCGATCTCATTGAACTCCCTCACAAGGAGTTTGACGTTATACTTGGCATGAACTAGTTGACAAAACACCAGGCTATTATTGAGTGCAAAGAACGAGTGGTGAAACTTCGTACAAATGGTGGTAACGAAGTGATCATTCGAGGAGAACTTCTGCCGAAAGCCCCGAAATTTATCTCTTTTATGCAAGCAAAACGGCTCATTCGCAGGTAATGTGAAGCATTCTTGTGCACTGTTAGGGATATGCAGAAGGAAACACCTAACCATAAGGACATATCTGTGGTTTGTGACTTTCGTGATGTATTTCTTGAAGAACTTCCTGGTCTACCTCCTCCAAGGGAAGTATAATTTTCTATTGATCTTGTACCTGGTACAGGACCCATCTCAGCACCACCTTATCGAATGGCCCCTGCAAAAATGAAGGAATTGAAAGCTCAACTGCAGGAGTTGTTAGATAAAGGCTTCATCCGTCCTAGTGTTTCCCCGTGGGGAGCACCTGTCCTTTTCGTCCGTAAGAAAGATGGATCGATGAGATTACGCATCGACTATCGTTAGCTGAACAAAGTGACGATCAAGAACCATTATCCATTACCTTGTATTGATGATCTGTTTGATCAATTACGAGGTGCAACCATATTCTCAAAGATCGATCTCAGATCAGGTTACCATCTGATTCCTGTTAAACCAGAAGACATTCCAAAGACAGCGTTTCGTACACGTTACAGACATTATGAATTTACCGTTATGCCCTTTGGCTTAATGAACGCACCAGCTGTATTCATGGATCTCATGAATAGCGTCTTCAAATAGTATCTGGATCAATTTATTGTGGTTTTTTCATCAATGATATCTTGGTGTACTCAAAAACACCAGAGGATCATGCTAATCATTTGCGCATCGTGTTGAGTATTCTGAGAGAGCATAAGCTTTATGCCAAACTTTCTAAATGTGAATTTTGGCTGAATGAGGTCACTTTCCTTGGTCACGTGATTTTCGCTGAAGGAGTCAAAGTTGACCCATGCAAAATTTCAGCAATCACTGAATAGAAAACTCCACGCAATACACGTGGGGTACGGAGTTTTCTTGGACTCGCTGGTTATTATCGTCGCTTCGTGAAGGATTTCTCTCGAATCGCTTCACCACTTCATAAATTGATGAAGAAGGATGTCAAGTTTGCTTGGACAGAAGCTTGCCAGAAAAGCTTCGAACAATTGAAAGAATGTTTGACTCAAGCACCCGTGTTAATTCAACTGACACCTGGTACTGAATACACAGTTTTCAGTGACGCATCACACCAGGGACTTGGGTGTGTACTAATGCAGCAAGGCAAGGTCATAGCTTATGCATCACGATAATTGAAACCTCATGAATGTAATTATCCAACTCATGATTTGGAGTTCGTAGCTGTTGTTCTTGCATTGAAAATTTGGAGACATTATTTATATGGCGAGACGACTCACATGTTCACTGATCACAAGAGTTTACACTATTTGATGAGCCAGAAGGAGTTAAACCTTCGACAGAGATGGTGGCTAGAGTGGATTAAGGACTATGACTGTCACATCGCTTATCATCCTGGTAAAGCAAATGTGGTAGCCAATGCTCTTAGTCGTAAGACTCTTGCTGAACTCCGCATACGACCCACGTTGGATCAAGATATCATTTCAGCACAGCATCAAGATACCTTTTGTCTCGAGACACATGAGCTTGTTTCCAAGGGAGAGAAACAAGACTTCTCTGTTCGAGATAATGGTACATTATACTATCGAGATCGTTTGGTAGTACCATCAGGTGATGTGAGAGATTGTTTATTGCATGAAGCTCACAGAACCGTGTATACCATGCATCCCGGAAGTAACAAAATGTTCTAGGATCTGAAGAAACATTATTGGTGGTCAGCCATGAAAAGGGAGATTACTGAATTCATATCGAGGTGTATGACTTGTCAGCAAGTCAAAGTCGAACATTAGGTACCTACAGGACTTTTGTAGTAGATCACCATCCCTGAGTGAAAATGGGACCGCATTATGATGGATTTCGTAGTCGGATTACCATTGTCTCAAAAGAAGAATGATGCAGTATGGGTTATTGTTGATCGTTTGACAAAATCGGTGCATTTCTTACCAATTCGGTGAGATTTTACACTACAGCGTCTGGCTGAGTTGTATATCCGTGAGATTATCAGACCACATGGAGTACCATCCATCATTCAGACTGCGATCCTCGTTTTACTTCCCAATTTTGGAAGAGCTTAGTGAAAGATCTTGACTCCAAACTACATTTTAGTACAGCTTTTCATCCTCAGATTGACGGACAGTTTGAGAGGGTTATTCAGATTCTTGAAAATATGATGCGAGCGTGCGTCATTGATTTTGGAAGCAATTAGGAAAAATATTTACCTCTGATGGAATTTGCCTATAACAATAGTTATCAGGCAAGTATCAAAATGGCTCCGTATGAGGCACTGTACGAAAGGAAATGTCAAACACCAGTTTGTTGGACTGAATTGAGTGAGAGAAAGCTCGAAGGTCCAGAACTAGTGCGAGAAACAGAGGAAAAAGTTCAGTTGATCAGAGAATGACGTCAGATAGCAGCAGATAGACAGAAATCATATGCAGACCTCAAGCAACGCGACATCGAATATGTTGTTGGTGACAGGGTATTCTTGAAAGTTTCTCCTTGGAAGAAAGTTTTACGCTTTTCCAAAAAGGGGAAACTCAGTCCAAGGTTTATAGGCCCATACAAAGTCACAGAACGTGTGGGACCTGTAGCCTATAGGTTGGAATTGCCACCAGAGCTAAACAAGATTCACGATATTTTTAATGGGAGATGGACCAAAATAGGAGTAAAAGATATGTCATATGCCAAAATAGGAGTTAAAACTTAAACTCCTCCAAATAGGAGTAACTAACTTAACAAGACCTCCCCTAGCTAATATGCACCAAGAATATCATATTTTCTCTTCAAACGCCTTCCATTAGCCATCTCAAGAAAAAAATCTAGATTTTTTTTATTAAATAAATTATTTTGTCTTCATATTTTAGCCCAATTTCTTGGTCTGAACAAAAATCCACCCAAAATTTTTAAAACCATTTCTTTTGAACTCTATTTAATATCCCAGCAAAAAATAGCAAAACTGCTTCCTTTATTGTTCCTCCTCCCTCATCATCGCTATAGTAAAGAATACTCTTTATACGAAGTGCCATCGAAGCCATAATACCAACAATTACAATCCATAATGCCAGCTATTATACTAAATAAGAACAAATATGCCACTGTATAAGGTAAAAAAGAAAGCAAAGTGTCAAACATGGCACTGTCTAAGCACAAATATGCCAGTATAGAATGTCAAAAAGAAAGAAATACGCAAAAAAGAAATTTGATAGTGAATTAATTACAAATTTACAAATTTGATTCTCAGAGTGTCTTATGGCTAATACGCTTGTATTCAGGGATGACAAGAGATAATTTTGGATATTCATGACTACTTTAAATATTATATAGTCATTCCAAAAAAATATATTATATATCGAACAATAAAAACTAAAGCCACCAAAATGAAAAAGCTGTGATAGATTGTGGCATCGGATGAAGTAGGATCATGAAGGTTCAATGTTGACCCCCACATGTAAAGCTCCTCCATTAATCAAATAACAATCACCGGAAAGGTGTTCCCTCACCCATACTTTTTCTCATAAAGGTCTAATTTGATTTTTGTGGCCAAGAGCAAATAAAAAATAGCTAATTACTCCTATTTAGGGTATTTTATGTTTGAACTCCTATTTCGAGGATATAATACATGTTTTATTCCTATTTAAGGGGTTTTCTTTTTCATGTATCGATGTGGAGGAGATACATATCAGAACCCTTTCACATTATTCCAACAGAGTGTGTCACGAAGAATCTTTCCTATGAAGAGGAACCTGTAGAGATACTTGCACGAGAAGTTCGAGTATTGAGAAACAAAACTGTACCTTTACTTAAGGTGCTTTGGAGAAGTCACTCTGTGGAAGAAGCAACCTCGGAAACTAAGGAATCCATGCGATCTCAATATCCACAACTTTTCAGCGATCAATGATCAGGTAATTTCGAGGACGAAATTATTTTAAGGGAGAGAGATTATAACGCCTCGAATTTAGGCCTAAAAGAATTAATTAATTTAAATATTAATTAATAACTGAGACAAACCTGAACATTGAAAAATAAAAGTTTTCAGAAAAATATTTTAATTATATCAAAATTTTAGATTTGACAGTCTGATTCCAAAAACGCGATCCGTTTTCAGTTCGGAAAAGTTTGGGCAAAAAAGCGCATACCATTTTAGCCAGTTTATCACTTACGGTGTAGGAGAATATTTTAATTCTCCAAAAGTCTCTTAATCACGCAGCCCCAATCCCTTCAAATCCTCAATCAAGCCACTCAACCCACTAACCTCTCCACTATCATAATACATCCAAAATAATGGAGTGTATTTCTTACCATTTTGTCCAACAATGCCATCCTAATCACAACACAACTCTCATAGTCTCTCTCTTCATCCTCTCTCGGTCGGCCAGCCTTCAAAGAAGGAGAAAGGAGACTCCATCTCCATTGTTGTACCAAAGTAAGAAGAAGAAGAAACAAGAAGAGTGTTTAAGTCCAAAATCCTGAGTCCAAAACGCATCAGCAACTTCATCGCCAATCCTGTAATTTTCTATCCATTTTCTGGAATTGTTTATTATACCAAAATTGTAGCTCTGGATGTTACGAATACAACCCAACAAATGGTTTGTGATTTCGTTAAGTAACGAAGGAGATATGACAAAAATACCGGGACTGCGCCCTACGATATCAAGGCGAGTACATTGCACCCTAGGAATGCAATCCTTGGTTCAATATCAATCTAGATATATCGCTAGGATTGATTGTCATATTATAAGTCATCTATGTTTTAAGATCAAACTCATCAAACTCATAAAGTTAAAATATGTTTTTCTTGATACTACTCCACACATGGATATATAAATGTTAGAAATACTTTAAATACGTAGATATGTTAATTATAGCTGTTAAAATTACTTAAAGAAGTATTTTAGACATCTAAAAATATCAAAAATAAGATTTGCAGACCCAAACGGTCGACGTAAACGGTCAACCATCGTATTAAACTTCGAAACAGACCACGACTGCCAGCAAAACTGTCGACCGCCGCCGACAAACGGTCGACCGCCGCCAGCCCAGCCGAAGTCCGTCGTCCTCAGCCAGTCAACAATGATTGAGCGCCGGTCAACCGCGGTCGACCGTCATGGTGAACCGAAATCCGAGAAATTGAAGTAGAGCACAGTCGACCGCCGTGCCAAACAATCGACCGTTCCGAGCCCCGTAGCTTGCTTAAATGATATTTTAATCATGTTTTATCCAAATAAATTAATGTATGATTACATATTCATATTGTTTACAAATTGTTCATATCATATGAATCATTTCATCATTCATATTGAAGCATATCACATCATATGCATGTGCAAGAGATCATGCCTCATGCGTCTCTTATACGGTGATTGTGCGGGACTTACTAGTCCGACATCACACGTTTGGGCTTAGTGTACGTACATGGTATTCAGGCTTTCGAGTACCACCCCCATTTTTCTAGTCTCACCCGACTAAGATGGCGTGAGTTCGTCATACCAAATGGGCGAATCTCATAGCGTAAGGGTCGTCCTTGCATGTTAGAATCATACAACATGAAATCATCATCAAGAACAATCATAATGGCTATGTAAGACATCAATTACATATCATCATCGTCATCATCTTGAGCACACATGCTACAATATGTCATATCATGAATAATTGTATGTCTACTTGCTATTCAACTTGGAATTGTTGTATTACTGTATTCCTCAGCGGACGCTGAGTGTGTAATTTGTTTTACTTGTTACACGCAGGTAACAACACTGATCATGGACCCGGAGGTCAATGAGAGTGATGACATGTACGGACTGGTGGACCACAATCATTATGTTTTCTTTAAATAAAATACCATTTCGGGCGAGTTCCCAGAAAATGTAATACGAGTTGATTACGTTTAATATTTAAGCTTCCGCACTGTTTCAGACATTTCTCTGAAACTTAATATTTGAATTTATCATTTATATTAAAGTTTAATTGGTTTTAAATTATTCATCAAATTATCATCCGTAATTAGCATCATGGTAACTACTCCGGCTCAAATAATCTAGGTAATTGGATAATTCGAGTTGGGGTGTTACAACACCAAAATTAAAAATATAACCCAATTTTAATTCAAAAATCATATTTTTGAATTTCATAAAGTCCAGAATCATATTTTGACAATTTTATGAATTCTGGTAATTTTTGAAAATTATATACATATATACTCCCTCCGTCCCATTAAGGAAGGGATAATTTTGTGTTGACTTTTCAAAAATAACCTTGATGTGATGGGTAAAAGTAGGATGTGATGTGTAAATTATTAGGAAAAATGTATGATGTGATAGGTAGGGTTTGAAAAAGTAAGGGGTAAAAGTGATTTTTTAATAGAAATGAGTAAGGGTTTGTGGGACACAATTTTTTTGAAACGTGTAAATCTTTTTGGGATAGAGGGAGTATAATTTAACTTATCCATTAACAAAAACCCTTCAGAGGTTCTATAAAGGATTATTCTCCATCACCCGACTTCACCCCCAAATAATAGTGACCCATTTGTGCTAATTTATACTTTCACTCTTCAACTATCAACATAAATTATTCTTTAAATGATATTTTATCATTATTTTAGTAATACACTCTGTTCAAGATAAAATTTATTCTACCTTTTATTTTTTATTTGGAAAAAGAACATGTAACTTACAACATTTTTCTCTTTCCATAAAATGTTAACCACATTCTATTCAACACTTTATTTTATGAAGTCAAACATTAAACTCCATTTCAGAAGAAAGATGTATATAAAAGTATAATAATGGTCAAAAACGTGCTTTGAAGACTGAAAAAACAATAATAATGTTTTTTTAGGAAAAAGGGCGTACCCATCCCTGAAACCGAGACCAATGGAACAGTCAAGTTTTGATGAATAAGTTGACCTTTAATCACTTGATGAAGATTGGAGTCTACAGACTACAATAGGTACTTATAGACCCCATGTATCCTAGCCTAACAAAATTAAACTCATGTCTATCCCTCTTAGCACTCCTTATCAACCAACTGCGCTATTTAGAGACGGGAAGGGCATACGTTTTAAATTGATATTCATAGAGTATAGAACTAGGGAGAGCAAGGATTGAGAATTGCTTTACCTAATGCGTGCATAACGACAGGGGTGATTGCCATTGATTTTACGTTTTAGTAAGCCCTCTAAGATAGCAATTTTAAAATGTAGACCCAAAAATTGTTTCCAAACTCATGGTAAGCAGTCCCACAAAGGTAGCTGTTGTGCTGGAATCCTCTTTCATTATATAATCTAAGCATAAAACCAACTAGTGTTCCTCTTACAGGATGTTCAATTTCAGTTTTAAACATCACACTGGCAGCCTGCAAAAAAAAACTAACAACTGTAAAATAATGTCCTAGTACGATTTAACATGTCATTCTGAGCATCACAGATATCAATTGGCCTGCCATACCGGTCACAGACGAAGCATAATACCAATCAGTGGAAATCCCAAGGCACATTGCAACGGAGTACATTAGTCAGTCGGTACCCAAAAACATGTCATCTTGAGCGTCTTTTTGATGCCCGGCGCTTACTAAGAAGAAGTTTCAGCATGTTGTCAGTAACATCTGGAAGGGAACTATTGTCTTCACCATTATTATCTTTAGTTTGAGTTAACCACGCCAGTGCCTCAATTGCAGCATCTTTCTCAGCAAGAGCTTTGTTTCTCTTTGGTTTACCCACAAACTGCATTCCCTTGAACTCTACAAGTGCCCTGAATTCATTTGTCTTGAGATGTTTTGTTTTATACTTCGGAGGGTGGTGGCCTGCTCTCATTAGAAGAGTTTGC